GAGCTTCCTTTAGATCGTTGTATATAGCTGTGGATCCTCCATCTTGGAAGCTGGCCAGGTATCCATCCTATGGATAGTCGACAACTCATTTATCTTACATTTTTTCTACAGCTGCAGGACAGTTGGGTTCATTCCATTCAGGGCTATTACCAATAGTGCCACTGAGAATATTCCAGGCTGCGTCCTTTGGTGAATGCACAGATGCACGTCTGTCGGGTCTCTGCCCAGGGGCGGAAGTGCTGGGTCAGAGGGCGGGGCGTGCGCAGCTGGAGTAGACCCAATGAGTGCACTTCCCACGGTGGTTTTACCAAGTCACATTCCCACTGGCTGTGGGAGATTCCGGTTGCTCCATGTGCCCACCAACACTTGATACTGTCAGTCTTCACTTTAGCCGGGCTGGTATGGGAAGTGGTAGCCCACTGTGGTCCTGGGTTTCCCCTGATGTCATGAAGCTGAGCACATTTTCATGCCTTTGTTGGTCACTTGGATATTCTCTTGTGAAGTACCTTCCTTCCAGTATTTCCTCCCCTGTTTTTCTCTGGAGTTGTCTGCCTAGTTCGTACTGATTTAAAAAGGCCATTCTGCTCTGTCCCACAAACTCAAAAGCCACCGTGCTTGGGCCATGTTCGTACTGTAGCTGGTGACAGGGTTTCAAACAAAAGACATAATATGTCACATGAAATTAATCTGGTTTGAATTGATTTTGTATTTGATTGATCAATTTGTCTTGGTCTTATGGTTGTCTAAGAGCTCCAAGGAATTTATGCCTGTTTTACGTTGGTACACGTTTAAGTAACATCACGGTAAAAATCATTCAAGGCAACAGCAAGGGCCCATGAGATCCCCTTCTCCTCTTGGTAAACGGGAGGAGATTTTCAAAACACAAATCCAATCTGGTCATTCCCCTGCGTGATGCATCTCAGAGGATCCCTTCTGTCTGAGGTGGAGGGGAGACTCCTCAGCCCGGCACTCTGGCCTCCCAGGCTCACGTCACACTTGCACCTGCTCCCCTGGGGAAGCCATGGCCTCTTTCTGAACCATGATCTCTCACACCCCAGGGTCTGTCTGCAGGGGCCCCCAGTTCCTGCTGCCCCCACTACCTGTGGCCACCCCCTTGGCTTAGCGTTAATTCCTCGATCAGACCTCAGCTGAATTGTCACTTCTCGGGGAAGCCCTCACAATGGGCCTAAAGCACACTGTCCCCACTGAGCACTGTCCTTCTTCGCATAATCTCAGCTGCAATTCCTGATTTATTCGTGGCATTCTAGACTGCAAGTTACGTGAAGGCAAGGACAGTATTCTTTTCCCCCCACCTTTTTTCTTCCAGTGTTTGGCACAGAAAAAAACTCAGCGGATGTTTGTTGAATGACTTGATGACCTGAGCTGTGTGACCCTCTGGCTCTATTGATGCTGAAAGGCAGGGAGGGCCCAAGGTCACATGCAGGGAAGGGCCAGAGGCAGGCCTGGGGCCAAGCTCTTCTTGTCCAGTCACATGGAATGTGAAAGAAAGTCCTCTTTGGCCAACATCATGGGCCCTGGTGCCCCTTAAGGATCATCTAGTCCAATTCCTTTGTGCTTTGAATGAGGAAGTTAAGTACCAAAGAGAGGGTAGGGATTGTCTAGAATTACTTGGTGAGGCAGAGCTTGGCTAGGTCTAGGACCCACTTGCCTGATACTCAACATGCTTTGCACAGCCCCTAACTCTCCCGGAGGCAGGAGACCGCGGGGGCGGGGGTGGGGTGGGGGGGGAGGTCACTGTTCTCACAGTCCTGACCGAGAGCCTCTGAGCACGGCTGGGGTTCCCCGCCCGATGCAGACGGGAGACTGATGACAAAGGCCTTCCTTGTCATCAAGACCCTTTCAGAGTCTATTCTAGAGTCTCATGGGGTAGTATTGAATTCCTGTCTATGGGACGGTGGAAGAGGGTAGGAATATTCTGGAATGAAGACTGGGGAGGCTCAGAGGCAGGAATAACAATTCAGTGAGGAAAACTCCAGCTGCCAGGCAGGCAAATACCCCCTGGTCCCTAGCCTGGCCCAGAGAACTGCACACAACCACTCCTTTAACCCTCTCAAGGCACAGGCTGATGACATTTTTTTCCCCCAAAAGATTTTATTTATTTATTTGAGAGAGAGTGAGAGAGATCTCAGAGGGAGAGGAAGAGGGAGAAGCAGACTCGCCGCTGAGCAGGGAGCCCGATGCGGGGCTCGATCCCAGGACCCCGGGATCATGACCTGAGCCGAAGGCAGACGCTTAACGACTGAGCCACCCAGGCGCCCCGGCAGGAGACATCTTTTAATCGAAATTTTAATTGAGCTAACTGTAGATGGAGATGCCGTTGTGAGAAATAATGCTGAGAGAGCCCAGGTACCCTGCCCCAGTTTCCCCCAACAGAAAGGTCTAGCAAAACCAGGGACAATCTCACAGCTAGGGCATGGGCATGACAACCCGCCCCACTCCCTCGGGCTCCCATCCTCCTCTTGTGTACGTGCCCCAAGTTGTATACAGTTATGTCCCGGGGTTGTGTGTCCTCCGTCCCCATCAGGACCCAGGACACTTCCAGCACCACAAGGGTCTCTGCTGTTGTTCCTTTGTAACCACACTCCATTTCATCCCCATCCAGCCGTCCCAAATCCCCGACAATGTCTCATCCATCCTATGTTGCTAAAATGTGGTAATTTCAAAAATGTGATCTAAACAGAATCGCAGAGTATATAACCTTTGAGGACTGGCTTTTCCCCTAGGCATTTTGGAGCTGGCTCCCGTCCGCATGAGCTTCCAGCCCCAGGGGTAGGTCTTTTTCTTCCCGTTGTACAGCTGAGCAAACTGAGCCCTTGAAACTCCAGAACCAGTGCTCTTGATGGCCACAGAAGGGGAGGAGGGCATGGGGAGGTGGGCTGCAGGCTGGGGACGCAATGCCTCCCCCCTATGGACGACAGACCCCGCTGCCATCCAGCCTGTCCCCCCGGCCTGTCCTGCATGTGAGCGTCCTCCTCTGTCCCCACCCCAGGCCCTCCCCAGGGCTGCCTCTTCCCTCCATAGGGAGGCGGTGACTAGGGCTGCTGGATCGCAATCCAGTCTGCTGACTTGAGGCCCAGCTTGGCTCAAGCGGTCACCACATCCTCTGAACCTCAGGTCCCCCCTCAATGAGCCAGGGGGAGGGGCAGGATCGCACCCGGCAAACCCGCGAAGATGCAATGAGGCGACGTGTGAGGAGCAGTCAGCAAAGTGCCAGGCGCAGAGTGAGCCCCCAGCGCACGGCGCAGAGAGCCGCCCGCGGCCCCATTTGGCAATGAATTATGTATGGCCTTCTGGCAGCCCTGCTTGCTGGGGCTGGCATTCTCCAAGCTTCTCCTGGGCCTCTCTCTCCAGTGAGGGGCACAGCCTCCCCCAGGTGGGCGGGTGGCGTTCTTTGTCTCTCTTGCAGCGACCCAGCCAGCATCTGGTGCCCCGTGCCCCAGGATGCCCATTTCCCAGGCTAGAGAACCAAGGTCCGGGGTCAGATCAGGAACGTCATAATATAATAAAAACAGAAACAGCAGTCGCTTCAGTAACGTCAGTAATGGTGATGGTACCAGCTCAGCTTTATTGAGGCTTTCTGATGATGTGCTGGGCACTTGAACAGACTGTTTGTTGTTCCCGAACCAAGACTGGGAGGGCCCACCTGCGCGGGTACTGTCCTAGGTGCTGGAGGGACAGAAAGGAGTCCTGCCCTCGAGAGGCCCAGACTCCACCGAGGGAGAGCAGGCAACGGATAAATGAGTTATTGATTAAGTTAGAGGTCAGGTGGTAGGTGCTGAGAAGGAAGAGGAAGGAGAGCGAGAAGGGGCGGGAGGAGGCGGGCATGGCCAGGGCGAGCCTCGCTGAGGAGGTGGGTGACGTTTGAGCAGAGCCCGCGTGGAAGTGAGAAAGCCATCCTGGAGAGGAATGTCCCGGAAAGGAGCAGCAAGTGCAAAGGGCGGGGGCAGGACATGCACCTGTGTCTGAGGCACGGCAGGCATCAAATTCTCGGGACCACCCCAGGAGCTGGGCACCACGGCCCCAGTGGCAAGTCGAGGAACTGGGATTTGGCGAGTCATCATCATCTCTTTGTTCGTGTGCTCTGCTGCAGACATATTAACTTGTTTGATTGCAGGGGTTGCCCCACACCTCCTTGGGGGGTGTTAGGAAATAGGCGGTATACGTGTCAGATCATCTTTCTACAACTGGAAAAATTCCGAGTTCTCGAACCTTCTGCCCAGGGATTTGGGGTCAGGGATGACAGGCCTGTGTGACCCAGGTCTTCACCATTAGGGCTACGGTAGCGTCCCCATCTGTCTTATGTCACCTGCCTGATCCTGTTTTCCTCCTGCGCCAGCCCGTGGACGCCCAGCATCAGATCAACAGTACACAGCACTGCGCCGTCTGCAGACAGGGCGTGCTGTATGCGCTTGCCCCCAGCTCCCTATTAGGCCCACGCTGTGCATTCGGAGTCAACTCCGGAGAAGCCACGAGCCAGGCCTGTGGCCGCGTCGCTCTGAGGCAGACCCAGAGGTGGCAGGCGCCAAGCTCATCAATGGATCTGCCAGCGTCAGCGCCCGGCGGCCACGAGGGGTGTTCAGGCGTGGACTTGCGCGGTCTGACATTTCCATCGATGGCCTGGATGAGGAATGAATGGCCAGCATCCTCCTTCCATCTCCAGCTGGGGGGGGTGGTGGGGGTGGTGCAGAATCAAAAATGACTCTGCAGAAGGGAGGCGTGGCTGAAGATGAGGACAGATCTGCTGGGGAAGGAAAAGGAAAACCCACTCAGCAGTGGCCTCCTCCCAGCCTCTCTGCCTCCAGGTTTGCCCTTCTGAGCCATCCTGTGAAGATTCCAGATTAATCTTCCCAATTAATCCTCTTCCCGAGCCACCAAACCTTCGCTGCTCCCTATCCCTTGCTTCTTTCTGAAGGCCATTCAGTACACGGCCCCGCTGCCCCAGGAGCCCACCTGGCCGCCCTCGCCTCCGGGTCCTTGCCCACGCTGCTTCCTGTGTCTGGAACGGCATTGAAGACACACTCGGAGACCAGTCCCTGACATCAGAGGAGGCCATCTTTGTATAATGGGTCGGGCCTCTCCAATCCACCCAGGCTGCCCGCTGCAACATCCCCCTGATTATCACAGCCCTGCCTGCCTTGGGTAAGTGCCAGCTCCCAGCTGGCCTGGCGATCAAGGCCCCTCCTATCAGCTGGGCTCCAGCCTCATGGCTCCCCCCCACCTCCCTCCCTGGCCCCCCACTCCTGTTCAGGCTGACAAAGCCGCTCAGGGTTCCTGGGTCCTCTGAGATCACCCTGTGTTTCTCTCACTCTGGGACCTTCTTATGTGTGATTCCCTCTGCCCGGAATGCCTCTCCCTCCCTTCTAGGTCTAACTCTTACTCATCCTCCAGGGTAATATTGATTCTACCTCCTCCAGGAAGCCTTCTTGGATTTAGGGCCCCTCCCCTCGGCTCCCAGAGGCCCTGTGGCCCCTCAAGCATCATTATCATTCCCACTCCGGACGGAAACTGGCTGACTTGCCAGCCTCCTCTAGGCCAGGTCCACTAGACCTCCTCCAGGTCTGGTGATGACAGAGCCCCCACCTTGGCCTTTGTCTGCCCCAGCCTGGCCAGGGCTGGGTGCCCTGGAGGTGCTCAAGAAAGCCCAGAGGGAAGAAGTGGGAAATGGCACAGAAGCTTCTACTTCGTGTCAAGTTTTTTACGTGTAGCACGACAGCCGTGGAGAGGTTCTGGATTACAAGGCCTCACTGAGAGAGCTGGGTCACCATCCGGCCACACCCAGCAGCCCTCCGCCATGCTCTTTTAGTCTGTATAATGGACATAATCCTGGGTCCTAGGTAACAGTGTCGTGAGGCTAAAGGAAATAATACCTGTAAAGTGCTGATCACAGCCCCAGGTATTCAGTAAGTGTTTAATATTTGTACCACTGGTAATTATTGGGGCTGGAGCCAGCTTCTGGGGCTTCAAATCGGGGCTCCTCCACTTGCTGGCTCTGCGACCGTGGGCAAGTTACTTAGCCTCCCTGGGTCTCAGTTTCCTCATCTGTAAAATGGGACAAATCATAGGCTCATTCCCCTTTCTCTCTCTCGTAGTGAGATTAAATAAATGTTGGGAGATTGAGTAAATGAACGTTTGTACAGAGTTTGCACAGTGGTTGGAACAGGGAAAGGGCTGAGCCAAACGCTGGATATTATTACACCCCAAGGGCCTCAATTCTGACACCTGTGAGGAAACTCTAGCTCTTGGGGGAAATCTTCCTGAGTTGCTGATCTGACCTGGGGCGGGGACAGACCTTAGAACTTGTGAAATGTGACTTCCCACTCTCTACACCTCCTGAAACCACTCCATCCGTGTCTGGTGGTCAGAGGTGCCAAGAAGTATTTCCTTGTACCTATCCTAAATCCCTCCTATGCTGATTCCTCTGGGTTCCCAGCCAGGCCCAGATGGAGAGATGAGGATAGGAGCGGGACGGATCCCAGAGCTGCCCAGCTCAGCCCCACGTCCAGCAAGGTGAGCGGCCTCCTGCTCCTGGGGGCCTACAGCCTCCTCCAAGGTTACCCAGCCAGAGCCAAATGGGAAACCACCTTTGTCCCCTGGATTTCAGGCCTTGAGGAAGGTGGGGGATGAGTGTGTGCCCACCCAAGGGTGGGATGGGGAGAGGGAGCCCTGAAGGTCTGAACAGGAGGGAGGCAGGACTCCGGGGGTGGGGGTTGGCAGCCAGAGAGGGGAAGGGGTGTGGGAGACAGAGGGCGTGGAGCTGGGCCACAGGGCCGCAGGGCTGGGAAAGGGAGCCTCGGGGAGGCCGGGGAGGCGCGGGAGAGGGAGGCCTCATACCAGACTGTCTAGACACAGCAATTATTGTGAGCTCAGAACACCCAGGCTCTGCCGGCTCAGCTGAAAGGGAGCTTAACAAAGAGCCAGGAGAGGAAGAAAGCGGGGAGAAAAGCGCCCGCGGAGCCGGCTCCTCGCCTGTCGGGCTCTTTCTCTGCCCGGCTACCCTCCTTTGTGCTCCACCGCCGAGAAAGCCCAGCTCAGAGATGCCCGATGGAGACGCGGCTCCTCCTGGGCCCAGAGGGCCAGGCCTGGGTCACTGTGTGGGTTTGGGGGAGGGAGAGGCGGGTGTCCTGGAGGGGGGACGCATTTTGCACTTGTTTATTTGGAGGGCAGTGGCAATGGGAACGGAATTCCCAGAGGAGAAAGCAGACGGGGGAAGGCAAACCCACGTCCCCCCACCCTCCTGCTGTGCAGCGCTGGACCCAGTCCACACTTCTCTGAGCCTTGGTGTTCTCATCTGCAAAAGAGGAGTCATACCACCGCTTAGCCCGTGCTGAGAGGGTGGCGAGTCTAACTCTTGCATTTTGGAGGGCTGCAGCCCATGCCCCTCATTACACTGATGCAGAAACGTCAGGGCCGCAAGTGACCCGGGACAGGCTATTTCTTTGCTAAGACCCTGATCTCCATCCCTTCTCTGCCATTGCCATTATTATTCCCATTCTACAGATGAGAAAACTGAGGCACAGAGGCCAGAGCCACTTGCCAGAGCTCACAGCCAGTCAGCAACGGGTTTGGATTCAGGTCTGTCCCTTCATCTTAATTGTGACTTTATGATGTACCCCCAACCTGGGGGAGGGGGGCTAATGGTGGGTGGCAGGACTGATGGGAAGGCCACAGGCCACTGACCTAGGGTGTGCAGGGAGGGTCAGAGCTGCAGGTGGCCAAGCTCTGCCCCCAGCTGCTGCCTGGAATCAGGCTTTGGCTAAGCCACTCGCCCCACAGGCTGAGCAGACTTGCCCTCCCATCCTGGGAGAGGACAGACAGGGACCCGAGGGGAAGTGGGTGCGGGTGATTCTGTGATGCCACAGCGAGGCCTCCTTGACACCCTACAGTCATTGCCCTCCAGCCAATAGCCCAGGAACCCCCCTTCCTGCTCCTGGGGGAGGACCTCAGAGGCTGGTCCTGGGTTCTAGAGTAACAAGGGGTGGAGGGGGCAGTGCTGGCTTTCCAGCGGTGGCGGGGGGAGCAGGATCCTCATCCATCATCCCCTGGTCCTGGAGGGGTTCGATGTGTCCCTTGGGTCTTGCCTCAAGTGGAGAGCAGGCCACTCTGTGCAAGGGACACACACTCACACACTCAGGTCTGGAGGCAGCCCCAGAACTGGACCCCTCCTCGCAAGCTTCAGTCATACACACCCCGTCCTCCAGCCTCAGGGTGCAGGCACCCCAGTGAGCTTTGCAGATCTGGACTTTTCCCTCTGCTCTCTGGAACTCTCCCCAAACATCGGGCTGCCTCCGGGACAAGGGCCACAGTCTTGGGCCACACTGATCCTCTCTGAGGCTCTCAGGTCTGTTGCCCCAGGATCCCATCCATACCCCCTCCACCAGTCACTCTTCACCTAGTTAGCCACTCCTGGTCCTCAGGGAGTCCTCCTATGCCCCCCGCAGAGATCAGGCCCCCCGGGACCAGCTCTCCCGGCCCCTTGGGCCCCTTGCGTGGTCCCCTCCCAGCCCACTGCCCTCTTATTATTTAACGCATCATTCTTAATGGCTTGCGCAGCTTCTGCTACTCCTGCAGGACTGTGAGCCTTCTGTGGGCCCGGCTGACTCTGTCTCCTTTGTCATCGTGTCCCAGCACCCTCCCTGAGGCCCCTCCCTGGGCTCGGTTTTCAGCCTGGCTCCACCCCAAGGCTGGAGAAAAGGAGCCCCTAGGTGCCTTCTGCCCTCTCCTCCAGAAACCTCTACTTCTGGGGACCACGGGGTTTTCAGGGCAGCCCTCCTGCCCCCTCTCCCTGTGGTCACCGCAGGGGTGAGGACAGGTCCCTGTGCTGCCTGTCAGCTGGACAGCACCCTAGGGCAGAGCTGCGGCTTGGCCTCGGCCGCCCACTCTCCCAGCCTGGTGCCTTGCACAGCCCTGGGTTGGCGACACCCCACAGGGTGCTGCTCTCTGCTCAACCACGGGAAGGCCAGGCTGGGCAGCTTGGGGTGGGTCCAGCAGGAGCGCCCCACAGAGCCCCGGGGGCGGGGAGAATAGCTGGAGGGGTGCAGGGAGGGCCCAAGGAGGTTGGCAGTGTCCCCTCCACATCCACTCCCCTCCCAGAGACCCCTGCCAGCTGGCCTCCCCCACTGGACTGGCCCTGCCTCTCCTTCCACTCCCCTCCATTACCCCCTGCCAGCCCCTCTCCGCCCCTCCCCTCCACTGCCCGGTGCAAGGCTCTCATCCTCTTCCCTTCCCTTCTCCCCCTTCCCCATCCTCTCCTCTCCTCTCCTCTGCAATCCTCTCTTTTTTTCTGAGTCCTTCTCCCTCGCCTCCTTCCTTTCTTCTTCCTGGGTTAAAAATAATCCACTTTCTGGGAAGCAGCAGCTCCTGCTGAGCCGCCCCCCCCCCCCACTTGGGAGCCCCTGAGAATAGCTTTCTGCGGTTCTCATCTCCAGCCCCTCCCCCCCGCCCCCTCCCCGCGAGCTGACTAATAAGCCCGGCCGCCGCGCGGCAGTGCCAGCTCCAGAAAGGCTTTAACCGCTTCGGGCCCGGCGGGCGGCTGGGAAGGAGCCCGGGTCGCGGGCAGCCCTGGAGGTGGGCGGGTTAGCGTCCAAGCCCCAAGCTCTGAGCAGCACGTAGCAGGCGCTCAATTAATATTGAACTTTGACCTCTGACTACGAAACCGCCAAGTCCCGCTGCTTAGGCCGCTAACTTGGGGCTTGGTGGCAGCGAAGGGACATGGGGGACGGGGGGGGGACGAGGGGGGGTGTCAAGCGCAGATACCCAAGGGAGAGGGAGGAGCTGACGGGTTGGGCCCACGTGGAGGGTGTGACTGGGCCGGCGAGGCTCCCTCTGCTTGGCCCCGGGGACTCCTTGCGCCACCCGCTAACGCCCGGGCCAAGGGCGGGGAGGGGCTGAAAACTGTCCTGGGATCCAAGGACGTCCACCTCTGGTCTAGTCGTTGGCGATCACCGGCTCCCATCTTGCAAAATGGGAAACTGAGGCTCGGAGGAGGCAAGACGTCTCCGGTTCCTGCCGAAGACCTTAAGGGACCTAGGGTCCCCCGCCCCCCGAGACCCTCAGCTCCAGCAGGGGGGTTAACGCGGGTGTAAGGCTGGGGAGGGGACATCAGGGTCAAAGGTGAAGGGTAGGTGGGGAGAGAAGGAACGTGAGCGAGGCGAGGTCCCCGCCGGCCCCGCCCACTCCTCCCGGTCCCGGCATTACCTCATCGCGGCGCTCGCCCATTGGCTGATTCTCCCGGAGGCCGGCCCAATGCGGCGGAGCCCGTTAACCCCTCCCGCCCCGCGGGCTAGGCCCTGGCCCTGCCACTGGTCTCCGCGGCCCCCACGCGGCCTTCCGGCGCCCAAGGGCCACGGAGACCGGGGCAAAGCAACGGGGAGGGGGCAGGTTCGGGCCGGGGGGCTCAGTGATTAGAGCGCAGGTCGGACAGCCTGGCCCGGGCCCCTGGCCCGCTACAGGCTGTGTGACCTTGGGCAACCGGCCTCACCTCGCTGAACCTCCTCTGCTTGTTTTCTCAGCTGTATAAAGAAGTGAATGATGTAACTCCTGCCCTTCCTAATTCCTTCCCCGAGTACTTGCCAAATGCTGGGCACACGTGGGCTCTGCGTTCCATATTGCCTCCTCCCTGCAAGAGGTACAGTTATGATTATGGGTTTTCAGAAGTGGAAACCAGCTCAGAGCTGCGAAGCCGCTTCCCAAGGTCACACAGCAAGAAAGTCACAGAGCTGGGATTTGACCTCAAGTCTGTGTGTGTTCTGAGCTAGACTCCTACCCTCTGCAAGATACTGCTTCTGCTGTGAGGTGCTGCTTCTAGGAGCTCCTGGTCCTGCAGGAGGGTGGGGACTCACGTCCTAGCCAGTCAGACCACCACATGCATCTGTGACCAAAAACACAGCCCCAAACTGGAAAGCCAGGGCCTCCAGCGAGGGAAGGCTTACTGGAGGAGGAAGGGCTGGAGGTGAACTTTGAAAGGGCGAGGCAGACAAACACAGAGGAGTGGATGGAGCACAGTGGGGTCGGGATACTGGGAAGGAAGCTTGGGGGATCCCCAGGAGTCAACCTGCTGGTCAAGGTCAGCCACTGGATGCCTGTCAGCGGGGACCAGGGAGGCTGCTCCTCTCTGGGCAGTCCTGGGGGGCAGGAGTACAAGCAGAGGCCCACATACCTCAGGTCTAAGTATTTACAAGTTATAAATCAAGCTAATAAACTGCTAAATAAAATATGTTCCATCTTCCTTCCTTGACAAATACACCTTCCTAAGGACAAATACAGCTGGAAGGCTGGGTTTGTACTCAGAAGTCTCAGACTCCTGGGGTCCATGCTAGAAGTAACAGCATGGGGAGAGACAGCCCTGGCCAGCAGCTGCCCACTGGGCCTGCCTTTTCTTTCATACCCCCCAGCTCTTGTCCTTTTCTGTGAGGCATGGACACTCCAGCCTGTGTGCATGAATTCTGTCCACACCCCCTGCAAACAGCCACCTCTTGGCCACCCCTAGAGCTCCAGGGTGTCCAAATGGCCAGCTCAGACTATCCTTTGGGGGGATGGACCCAGGAAGTGGGCTGGGGGCCATCAAGCAGGGAATTTCAGGATCCCAGGTGCCCAGATCATGGATCTTGGTCCCAAGGATTCCTTGCCCCATGAGGAAGGGCATATTGAGAGAAGGGCCTGAGGTGCCACTCCCTAAAGCCTGGAACTCAAGTCACCAAGGTCCCTGGGTGCTGTTGCAGCTGGAGTGGCCCAAGCTGGATGCAAAGTCATTCCTCCTCCTTGAACTGAACTCCTGACCACCACTTCCAGCCATGCACCTGGACCAGATCCCAAGTCCGTCCTGGATCCCTCCTCCCCAACCACTAGCTCAATACTTACCCAGACCCAAGGAGCTTCCCACCTAAAGGAGTCAGCTCCCTTCATCCTGTGCCCACAGCCCCCTCACCCCTGTCCGGGTTGGGCTCCCGCTCTCTCTCTGCCCCGCCCCAACCCCCATCCAATGTGCTCTCTAGGTCAAGCCAGTGGATCCTTCCAAAATGCAAGCCTGACCACTTCCTTCCCTTCTAACCATCCCTGGCTCTCCAGTCTCTCTGTGTCGTTCCCAGGCGCCGGATGTCCGACCCCCTCTACCACCTCTCCCCTCTCTTCACCCTTGGTCCCGAGCTCCAGCCATGTGGACCTTCTCTCTAGTTTGGGCAGCTTTATGCCCTTTCTGCCCCAGGTCTTCATGCATGTTATTCCCTCCGCCCAGGACTGTGCTTTCTGCCCCTCGTCTTGCCAGCCTCAGGTCTCAGGTGTCTCCTAGCTGGACTGTGAGCACCAGGAGGGCAGGCTCGGTCTTCGGTGTTGACAGAGTAGGTGACACTGAAGGTTGCCTGGGCAGACAGGTCTGTACTGGACTAGAAACCGGAGACTGACAAGGACAGATGACAGTTCACGTCGATTGCATGCTTACTGAGTACCAGCCCCCGTTTTTAAGCATAGTATGTGTGTTCATTCATTTATTTCTCACAACTGCCTGTGAAATAGGACGTATTATTCTCTTCATTCTATAGAATGAGGACACTGAGGCACAGAGGGTTCAGGGACTCAGGCTGATAGCTGGCAAGCACGACCCAGATTTGAACCTGGGAAATTGAGTTCCAAACCCAGCCCCCATCTAGTTCCCAAATCTAGCTCCCACCTAGCCCCAGGTGGGTCAGTACCTTGCTGTGGGTCCCCGGGCCAGTGTCTCCCCCTCTCTGAGCTGGAGCTTTTCTATATGCGCAACATACAGAAAAATTGCCAAAGTGGTGATCCTTGAGGTCCCTTCTGGTTGCGACATCCTGGGGTCTCAGGACCCTTCCCGGGAAGGTTCCCCTGATCTGCCCTTTGGGGAGCATCAGTTCTCAGCCCCGCCACCCAGGTCTCACGCCAAGGCTCTCTAAGGAGGTCCTGGGGGTGATGCCCAGGAGTTGGGTGGATGAACAGCTGGGTGTGAATTAGGCAAGGTGGGTGCTGGGACAAACCTGTTTCTTTGCTGACGAGACAAAAGCAGGGGGCAGCCGGGTAGGTAAGAGGTCAGGCTTCAGGCTCAGAAGAGGGTAAATTCTGGCTCTTCCACACGACAACCCCATGGCCTGAGGCATGGGCCTTCCCCCCTCCCAGCCTCATTTCCTTATCTTTTGCGCCTCATCTGAGTTGCAGAAGCCTCAAGGGGCTGTTGGAATACCTCACAGTGCCTGGCCCACAGCAGTGGGGGTGGCCAGTACTGGGAGGCTGTGGTCAATTTTCCCTTTTTTTAAAAAAAGATTTTATTTATTTGAGAGGGGGGGGAGAGTGAGAGATAGTGAGCATGCACGCGCGAGAGAGAGAAAGAGAGAGAGAGAGAGAGAGAGAACTGCAAGCAGGGGGAAGAGCAGACAGAGAGGGAGAAGCAGGCTCCCGGCTGAGCACAGAGCCCCACGTGGGGCTCCATCCCACGTACCCTGAGATCATGACCTGAGCTGGAATCAAGAGTCGGATGTTCAACCCACTGAGCCACTCAGGCGCCCCTCAGTTTTCCTTTTTTAATCAGGGCATCCTAGCAGGTCAGAGTTGGGGCCCATGGCTCCCTCCAGCAAACTGCCCTTGTGTTTCTAGAACTCATCTGCATTTGAAACATTCAGCCCCAGAGAGGCAGGAGCTCCTGAGTATGCAGCTGGGTAACCAAACTGTCCCTGGCAGTCTTGTCATCCCGGCCACCTGGCGCTGGGCCTCCATCTTGCAGGGACTGCTCATACCCCCCAGGGCTGGGCTGTCAGGTACTGGGGCTCATGCAGAGACTAGAGGCCTATGGGGCCTGAGCAGGGCAATCAGGGGCCAAGGGCGCTTGGAGCAGAGAGTCAAGCCTGGTTCCCCAAGCCAAGAGCTCTGCACATATCATCTTGAGGAGTCTTTACAACAGTCCTGCAGGATATGCACCCATTTTATAGGGGACGTCATGCCATGGAGGCTCAGAGAGGGACAGCGACTTGCCCCAAATCACACGGCCAGAAGGAGGAGTCTGGACCTTGCTCATAATTACTCTGCCCCCTGCTTCAGACAAAGGTGTTCCAACCATGTGCATAGACAGGATGAGTGAGCTAAGAAACATTCTGGAAGAAACCCTGGGACACACATGGGCCAAGGTACAGAAATGTTTGTAAATGAGCATGGGTGCCCCCTTCTTTCCCATCCCAGCACGTACCCCACCCCTGCTATTGCTGATGTCCTGCTGCCCCCCCCTTTTTTTTTTTTACTGGCTTCTTGTGGCCCTCTGACTCTGCTAGCCTCTAAGGCCGAGAGAATCGGCTGTTTCTTCCCTCACTGTACACCCAGCACATCATTCCAGGCCGGCACATGAAGGTTCCAGTGAGCACCTGTGAATGAAGGCATTCGAGCAGCACAGGGCTGCTCCACCCGGCCCTTCTGCGTGCCTGCCCAGTCCCCTCCCCACCCTGGCCTCTGGGTCTCCATCTCTGCATGTGGGGCGGCCCAGTGAGCTGCTGGGGTCCTGCTGGGCCGAGCGAGGGCTCCCAGGACCCAAGGGGCAGTGAGGATGAAGTGGGCATGTGTGGGTGTCCGGCAAATCATCTTTGTCCATCTCCCATAAATGCGTCTGCCTTGACGAAAGCAGGTAACTCTGCTCCTTCCCTAAGTTACTCATCTACCCTCCCTGTTCTCCTGTTTCTGGTCACCCACCAGGAGAGACTCGCCCTCCTACCCTACAAGTTTCTCCCAACCCAGTAGGGCCAGGCGCCGGGGTGGTGCTGGATGGAGGAAGAGATTTGAGGCTCCAGCCCAGTCCCCATCCTGCCCCCCCAGGGGAGACCAGCTGTCCTCCTGAAAGGCTCAGCCTGGAGCTTGGAACTGACAACACCCGCTATCTGTCAGGAACCCCAGCCAAATACCCCACCTCCAGGGCTCAGCACCAAGTGCCTCAGGGACCCAGTCTGCAGGAAGGGCATGACCAGGACTCACCTGAGGAAGGGGTTCACTAGGGGATGAGCTGCACCCACCAAAGTTCCCTTCAGCCACAGATTCGGCCCAGCAGGGACCCGATGGCTGTGCTAATGACAGTCACCATGACACTTCTGAGTTTCGGCAGGTGCTTTGAGTGTTACCCCATTTTACAAATGAGAAAGTTGAGGCCCCAGACAGAAGTGACCTTAAGGCTCTGGCCCAGTTCAAGTCACCACATATTCCAGAGGCCCTGGGCTGGGGTTGGTGGGGGTGCGGGTGTGGGGCCAAGCTGTTGTCTGGGTGGGAGGGGAGGTGACCAAAGCCCAGGTGAGTGTGACCTGTGGGTTACGAGGGCCGGGCCAGGAGCAGCTCTACAGGGAGTGAGGAGAGCCCTCGGCAGACACGGGGTATGTACCCATTTGAGGGGGCCTCAATGGAGGTGGGACTGTGACCATGGGAGGAGGTCAGGGGTCCGGCCACTGATGGCAGGAGATTTGATGCAAGGCTCTCTGCCGGAAGGGAAGAGAAGGAAAAGGGTGAGTCTTGGCCTTCACTGGGGGCATAAATACCATGATGGGGGTCGGGGGTCAAACTTAGAGGCTGCAGGAGCCCAGAGGAGGGGCACCCATACAGCCTTGATGCGTGTTGTATGGTCTGTGTGTGAATATCGTGTGTGTGTGTGTGTGTGTGTGTGTGTGTGTGTTGTGGGGCGGTGGTAACTGGGACACTCCCCGGGAGGCGGGCTGAGGAGAGCTGGAGGTGGAGATGTTCCCTCAGGAAATGGGAGAGGAGGGTGAGAGTTCCGGGCAGAGGGGTGGGAACAGCATAGGCAAAGGCCTCAGGCAA